TTTGGTTTTTGAGACAGGGTTTCTCTGTGGTTTTGGAGCCTGTCCTGGAACTAGCTCTTGTAGACCAGGCTGGTCTTGAACTCACAGAGATCCGCCTGCCTCTGCCTCCCAAGTGCTGGGATTAAAGGCGTGTGCCACCATCGCCCGGCTACAGGCCTGCTTTTAAAACTATTTCCTAGGCATTCTTTGGTACTGGACTTTGTCGTCTTTGCAGGCCCTCACTGGTGGATTCTGGGTAAGTGCTCTATAAATGAGCCAGGATGTCCCTAGCTCCTCTTGGCTTCTTAGGACTTCTCTGCTGGGTATGCTATGATTCTGTCAACTAGACAGAACCCTAGAGTCACCTACGAGCCCTGCTTCTGGGTAGATCTTTGAGGCTATTTCCGGGGAGGATCAAATAATGATTGAAGAGCCGGGCAGCAGGGGGCCCATCCAAAAATCCTTTTTAGGCAAGCTTTTTCTGAGGACAAAGTTGCCTGCCCTTATTTTTCATTTTAAACATTTGTGTGGATGGGGTGGGGATGGAGGACAATTGTGTGTGAGGGGCTGGGGTGTTGGCTCTGTCCTCCCACCATGTTGGTCTCAGTGACTGAACTCAGGGAGGGATCAGGCTTGGTGGCAAGCTCCTTTGCTAACACTGAGCCATCTCACTGGCCCACACCGTCGATGCACTCAGTTCTCAGGCTCTTCAGCATGCAGATGGCCGGCCACTCTGGAGGTTTCCCCTTTTATGACATGCCCCATTCTGTGCCTTTAGAGAAGGCTGGCCCAGCACAGTTTCTGTGACAGGTAAGGTGTAAGGGCACAGTAAATTATGGGAAGCTCATGGATTGAATAAGCATCTAGAGAAACTTCCATAGACCAATTTTGAAAAATTTTATTTTGTGGTTGGGTGGTGGTGACACACGTGCTCGGGAGGCAGAGGCCAGCCTGGGCTACAGAGCTTCCAGAACAGCCAAGGCCACACAGAGACACCTGTCACATGTATCCCATAGCATGTGAGGCCAGAGGGCAACTTTAAGTAGTCAGCTCTCTACTTCAGCTTTCTGAGAGCCAACTCGGGCCATCAGGCTGGCCCGGCAAACGTCTGATCCACTGAGCCATCTCACCGGCCCTGACAATCTGAGTTAGCGTTAACTGGCAGAAAGGGCTCTGGGAAGGTGGGGTCAGGCTGGTACAGCTTGAAGGCAACTGTCCTCAACATGTGATCCCCAGCCATGATGCTGCTGTGGAGAGGTAGAAGACCTTTTGGACATGTGACTTAGCTACAGGATGCAGGACCTAAGGGTGGGCCTTGAGCATCATAGCTGCCTCTGCTTGAGGTCTGGTCTGCTTTTTGGTTCCTACCATGTGAGCTGTGTAAACTCCTGTGGCCTTGACACGGTACTGCCACGCTGCCTTTCTTGGTGTGCTGCAGCTCTCTTCTCAACTGTGACTGACAACCACCCCTGAGCTGCTTGTCAGATGTCCCACTGCAGCATGGAGAAAAACAACACTTGCTATAGACGGGGGCAGTCCTGTGGGTGGGGCTATGGAATTTTTTAGTCGTATAATCCATCATCCAGCACGTAAAGAAATACCAGTTACAGCCGCTAGCCATAATCTCAACTATAGACGACTTAAATTTTGGCACCACTGAACTGAGGTCTCAGGGGTCTCTGGACCTACAGCAGCAACAGAAGAACTCTGCGGTGGTTTGAATAGGAATGACCCCATAGATGCATGTATTTGAATGCTTGGTCATAGGGAGTAGCACTATTAGGAGGTTGGCCTTGTTGGAGAGGAAGTATGTCACTAGGGGTGGGCTTGGAGGTCTTAGAAACTCAAGTCTGTTCAGCGTGTCTCAGTCCCTTCCTGCTGCGGTGGATCCAGATGTAGAACTCTAAGATACCTACCTCTCCAGCACCAGGTCTGCCTGTATATGGCTATGCTTCCCATCATGAAGATAATGGACTAAACTTCTGAACTGTAAGCCAGCTTCAATGAAATGTCTCCCTTTCTGTGATTTCAGCGTCTCTCTGCAGCAATAGAACCCTAACTAAAATAAGCCCCCAAGCTGGAGAAACAACAGCTTCTTAGGCTGGATGGCTCCCCCTGCCGGCCTTAGTCACCTCTGTGGCTCCAGTCCTTGCTTCTTTCCCCACTGGCACACAGAGCACAGCATAGCAATTGTTGGGCCCACACATTGAACACGCCAGGTTTGCTACGCAGTAGGAGAGCAGAGTTCAGAAGAGCTCCGTGCATTAAGTGGTTCCCTGCAAAGCTCAGCTAAGTGCAGAGGTTTCTGAACGGGTCTAGGTCTCAAAGCCTGTACAGGCCTCAGCAGAGTCGGAGGATGCTTCTGTCTTCTGTGGTCGCTCTTAGCCCGCAATGCCCACCTCACTGTGAGGAATCCCGAACCAAACTGGACCCACCTTACAGGGGCCTGTGCTTGGTGGACTCGTGCTAATGTGAGTCTGAGATAAGGTTTGACTTACAATAATGACTTTATTTATTTAACATATTTAATTACAGAACATAAAATAGCTGGGGGTGGCCCAGCCTCGCCCCACCCTGAAGCTACCAGGAGGAGGCCTCCCTGATGACCCTCATTTGGGGTCTTCCTATGGTAGGGCCCTATTGCTTTACCAGGGGAGGAGCCATGCAGATGAGGGGGCAGGACCTTCTCTTGGTCCCACCCCCACCCAGGTTGGCCTTCCTCCAAATGCCCAAGCTGTGCCCTACCCAGTCTCGACTCCTCCTTCCTCTGACCAGGAGCCTGTCTTCGGCTGCCCCGCGCTGCCCCCACCCCCTCTGCAACCTAAAGGGGAATAAATACAAACTTTACAAAGTAAAGGGGGTCCAACGTTGCCCTGGGGCGGGGCAGTAGGCCGAAGGCAGGGCCATCCAGCTGGGCAGGCCGTGGTTCACTGCTGTGGGCAGCTTTACATCATTCCTAGCTGCAGCAGCGTGTTGGCATATGCCATGGGCTTGACGTTGGGGTGAGGCTGCAGCAGGGGCAGAAGGACAGTCAGAGGATCCGCCCACACGCAGCCCCTGTCCAGGCAGCCCCTGTCCCAGGCCACTCACCACTGCTGTGAATTGGTGGAACTGGGGCCGCAGGTCCGAGCCCTGGAGGTGGATGTAGGAGGCTTTGTTTCCCATCTGGTCACTGCAGGGACAGGAGAAGAGGGGCTAGAGATTAAGAGAAGGGGGAGGGGGCTGCAGGAAATTGAGAAAAGAGATGGTGGAGGCAGAGAAGAAACCACATTGAAGAGGGCTGAAGGAGGAAAGCCATGGAAAAGTGGGGGAAGCAGAGGCAGGAAGAGGCAGTGGGGGAGCCTGGAGACCCATCTCACCACTACCCAAACCACTGGAGGGACACAACACCACCAGGATGTTACAGCCTAGTCCAAGAACCAGAGCCTATACAGCCCCATGGCTTCCTCTACACATACAGAGTAGGGAGAACATGAACTCATAGGAAAAGGCCTCTGTCCAAGGGAAGAGGACCTAACACTTGGGACTGGGGAGCAATGCAGGCCTATAGGTGTTCATTACAGTAGCATGTATCTACTCTTAGTGTCTTTCCTTTCCCTTTTCCCTCCTTTCCCTTCTTTTCCTTCCCTCCCTCCCTATGGCAGAGGTTTTACGTGAGGTAAGTTAAACCCCAAACCTGCCCCAGTGGTTATGCCTGTAATTCTACTACTTGAGAGGCTTGCAAGAGAAATGCCATGAGTTTGACACCAGTCTGGACTGCTGTAAGGCCTGGTCTCAAAAGCCACACAGACATAATCCATACAAATAAACCCTGTAGTCCAGGCAAAGGGGGGAAGAGTAAGACGCACCAATAGTTGGGGGCAGAGAAGACAGTGACACAGCGGCCACCATGGGCCACCTCATAGCCCTCAGACTTGACTTCATGGCTGCGGATGATGTAGTCCAGTTGGTTCTCCTCCAGGAAGGCCTTGGTGACATCAGGCCCAAACTGGCAGCTCACACCCCGCTTGCTGACTGAGCGCCCGTTCTGGTAGGAGCAAGGGAACAGGAGACTCTGGGTGACTGCTGGCCTGGCTCCACCCCACCACGCAGCCCACACCCACAGCAAGACACCAGGCTCACCTGTGGCTGGGGATCTGACCACAACAGGTCACACATGGGACCTGGGGGGCAGGGAGCAAATGTCAGAGACTTGTCTGTCTCCCAGGTTGCACCAGATAGGTGCCTACCCCACAGTACAGACTGGTGGTGGTGGTAGTAGGATCTGGTGGGGACATCACTGTGGCCAGGGCTCAGGGCATGCACACAGTTCTGAGCTGGTCCCAGTTTCCCCAACATCTCTCATTCAGTCTATTATAAGCTTCTTTCCATCCAAAGCCTCCTGTGACTCCCCACAGCCCCAGTAGCAAAGCCCACATACCTACTATGGTCTGTAGCTCTTAGGATGCGGCCTCTGGCCTATGTTCAGCAGGAACATCTGAGGGCCAGCCCTATCCACTCCACCCCTTCACTCTCTGTCTTCCCCCACTGGCCACACCCTCACCTCTCTTCTGGTGTCACCTCAAATGTCACCACCCTGCAGAAGCCACCCACACCATCTATGTCCTCAGTGACAGTCTCTGGGACTTCAACAGGTGCCTTAATTCCTCTTTAGGGGGAGGGGAGAAAAGTGAGTGACAGGTGTGTGTCATGAACTCTGATGTTCACCGGCTGGCACAATTCTACTCATTCAGGATGCAGGTGGGAGTGGGCCCCATGCTTGCCATGGGCATAAAGTCTATGTGAGCCCAGGTGCCCCTCTCTGTGCCAGGGGCCCATTCACCTGAGTCTGGCGGCTGCCGATTCCGCTCAATCTTTCGGATGTCATCCAGGGTGACGCCATCCTCACTGAACAAGCCTCCATGCATGATCTGAGGGAGGCATGTGTCTGTGAGGAAAGGTGCCCCTCCACCCCTCCACCCCAAACCAGCACGTGGCTCCTCACCAGCACTTTGCCGTTGATGCACTGGGCCAGTGGCAGCCACTCAAACACCTCACTGAAAAGCTCATACATCTGGGCTGTGTATTTGGCCTTCACCTCGCCCTCGAACCCGTAGATCTGGTTCATGTTGTCTGTCTCATGGTTGCCTGGTCATAACAGAGGGACAGGAGAGGCCCCCTCAGCCTCTAGGTTATCATATACCTACCTGGCAATCTCAGGTGTAGACTTAGGGACAAGACGGTATTTGCTCAGAGATGGCAGGCTGGCACTATGTTTTGCAAATAAGTGCCCACCTCACTACTCAGCTTGAGTTTGTATTAGATTAGTGTCCCCAGGGAAGCTGTTCACACCCACTGTGTGTGAACTAGGAAAAGGCACCCTCCCCCCGACCTCCTGTCCAGCACCTGCCAGCAAAGGGCACAGCGAAGCCCCACACCGGGCTGTCTGTGGCGGGTGCTGCAGCTCACCCGACACTGCTAGGGCAGTGCACAACCTGCTCAACCTTACTTGGTGGCCCCAGGGCAGGGTGTGTGTGTGTGAAACACTCCTCACCTCGAAGAAGATGAAAATGATCTGGGTACAGGAGTTTAAAGCCGAAGAGGGTGAGGATCACTTCAACAGAGAAGGAGCCGCGGTCCACAAAGTCGCCATTAAATATCTTTCTTGTTAAGAAAAGTGCAGGTAGCAGATGGGCCAGTAGTCCTGCCTGTCTCCTTGGCACCAAGGCTCCTGTCAGTGCCTCCAAAGTGGGTGCACCCTTGCCCTGCCTTTAGACTGATGCCACCCACCCCAGGACGGCACCAAGGGCCCACCCTCACCTGTCTTGGGGAAACCAATGGCATAGTTGAGGCAGCCAGCTCTTCCCCAAGAGCAGTCCTCAAACCAAAGGAGAAATGGGACAGACTTTCCTCCCAAAAGCACAGAGCCCAGGGGCCTTACATGGTGGCTAAATATCAGGAAAATATCCCATGCCAAACACGAGTACAGGCTGGGTTTGGCGGTAAATGTCTACAACCCTAGCAAGCGGGAGATAGGAGACAGGAAGCTCAAGACCACCAGGAGCTACACTTTACAGTTTACCTCCAAACAGCCCCAAAGGAAACAATACAAAAATGTGACAAACACCCGGAGGCTGGTTTCGCTCATCTGCTTACCACATTCCAACAACCCTGTGAGGAAGACCCTGTCACCCCACGGTATAGATGAGGGAACTAAAGCAGGAGATGAGACAGCCTGTGGGAGCGGAAGGGCTGGGTGGACACTGCCAGGGTCTCACCCTGCAGCAGAAGAGAAAGACCCGGGGCCTGGACCTGCAGTGACCCCAGTAACAGTAAGATGATGGCCCTGGTGTTCTTCCTTAGTGGGGCTCTGCCCTTTCTACATGGGATACACGGAGGATACATAGGGGTTGGTCTCTGAGGGTAAACCGTTGAGCTCAAATATGTTGAGGAGGTCATAGAACTGGCCATGGGTGTCCCCGCACACTGTAATCTTCTCTGTCTGGAAGAAAAGAGGCCACCGGAGAGGGAGGGGCCCAGATAGAGATGTGGGGAGGGGGCAAAGGGGAAATGAGGGGAGAGGTCACAATAGACCAAGAAAATTCATGCAGGACACAAGGGTAGGGGACATGACAAAGAGGAAGCAGACAGCCGGGAGGGGTGTTAGGGACAGAGAGAAAGAAGACTGCGCAGGTGGGTTTCTCAGGCCCTGAGCTGGGTGACCTACCTACTGGACTCACCCTCCCGGACTACATGCACCCGCCCTTCCACCCTGCACCCACAGCATAAGACGCACCTCTTTCAGCGTCGTCTCCACCAGAGTGCTCAGCTTGCAGAGGACTTCTTTCACCTGTACTAGGATCTGGAAAACAGGACAGCTGTAAGTAGAGCTGCTTGGGGTGGGAGTACAAGGTACTGCCCTTTCAAGGCCCTGGGAAAGCCTCAGCTGCTCAGGAGCTACTGGGAAGGTGTGGACTACTGGATGCTAACCAGGAACAGAGGTGGCCCTCAAGAGGTATTGAGTGGCCCGAGTGTCAACAAAACATCATGAGGAGTGTGTGTGTGTGTTTGAAAGATGGCTCAGCAATTAAGAGCACTGGCTGTTTTGTTTCTTTTTTACAGAAGATCAATTATTTTTGATTTCCAGCACCCACACAGTGGCTCACAACTATCCACATCTTCAGTCCCAAAGGATTCAGTGCCCTCTTCTGACCTCCACAGATATTGCACATAGGCAGTGTACAGACACACGTACAGGCAAACAATCTAAACATCACTATCATTTCACAAGGATCTTGGTTCATCTTTTAAAATCAACAGCATTAGGAAACACAATAGTTGGTTCACAGTATAGGAAACTTTAAAAAAGAACCAACCTAGAGCCAGGGAGATGGTTTAGTGGGTAAGAGTGCATGCTTGGTAAAGATCTGAGTTCAAATCCCCAGGGTGTGTGTGTGTGTGTGTTATCTGTAGTTCCAGCACGGGGGGTGGGGGGGGGTGGGGTGGGGTGTGGGCAGAGGCAGTCAGATCCCTGGAGCTTGTGGGCTAGCCAGCCCAGATGAACTGGTGAGTTTCCAGTTGAGTAAGATTTTGTCATCTGCCGTTCCCCAGCACCTGCAAGTGTGTATTGCATGTGGATGGTGGATGCTTACATGCATACACAGAGCTAGACTGGACACGTGTCATAAAGTTCCTTAAAATATAAGCCTCTCAGCTGGGTGGTAGTGGTGCATGCCTTTAATCCCTGCACTTGGGAGGCAGAGGCAGGTGGATCTCTGTGAATTTGAGGCCACCCTGGACTATAGAGCAAGTTCTAGGACAGGCTCCAAAACTTACACAGAGAAACCCTGTCTCAAAAAAACAAAAACAATACAAAACAAAACCAAAAAATCAAATAAACAAAAAACAACCCCAAAACAAAAACCCAAGTCTCTCTCTGCAGAGAAGGGGGAGGTGGAGGATCTTCTACCATGTAGTGGTATTGGCAATTTGAGAATCTGCCTAAGAGGGTGTCCTGGGATACACCTGTAACCCTGGCAGGTTAAGTCCAGATTCTTCTTTTGTTTTATTTTTCAGACAGATTCTCACTTACTGTGGATCTTTAATGGTCTAGAAAGCCTATGTATACCAGGCTGGCTTGAATTCAGAGATACATTTGCCTCTACCTCCCAATCTGGAATTAAAGGTGTGCACAACCATGCCCTGCATAGCCTGAAGTATATAGTAAGACCTTGTCTCAACAAGCCCTTCAATAACCTTAAATATATTTTGGGGAACCCCAGGAGAAATGAAAACACTAGGATATTTGTCAATGTTACTTTCACACACTGAACACGACCTTGAGAAAAGTCAACTGTGTTTGTCAGTGATTTAGATTTTACGTACAGCCTGTGTGTTGTGCACATTAGTTGTATTTAGTGTTCCATCATGGGGACAAGTGAACACACCAGAGTCCTGTAAGTGGATGTCCTTGTTTTAGGATACAGGTTATAGTGGCTGCAACTGAGTCTCAACTAGTTCTGTTAAAAGCAAGGGATGGAGGCCCCACACCTGTAAGAAGTATGTGGCTGTTAACTGTTCATCTTTCAACTTCCATGTATGTTTAACAATTTAAAAAAAAAGTGGGGAAAAGAAAAAGTGTCATTAAACAAACAAACAAACAAACAAACAAATAACCCAAAAGCAACACTGGAGGTGGTCACTCAGGAACCTGCAAAGAACTGTTGCTCTTGCTGCCCTAAGGACAGGAACAAGCCAAACAGCCAACATCACAATCAAAAAGAAAACTAACAAATCCACCTGAAACCCACATGCACAGAACCCTGAAGGACACACCACCAACAGCGATAACAGCCCCTTCGTGGGGCAGTGGGGTGAGAGCTGCTCAGGCTAGTGGCAGGTGGCTCCTGTCAGGGCTAAGTACCAGGGGAAGGCAGTGATCATAGGCGGGCTGTGATTCCATCACCGGGGAGGCATATGTGTGGCTAGCTCTGTCATAGAAATGACTTCTACTGGGGGCTGGAGAGATGGCTTGGTGGTTAAGAGCAATCAATAGCTGTTCTTCCAGACAGCTTGAGTTCAAATGTCACAACCATCTACAGTGTGATCTGATGCCCTCTTCTGGCATAAAGCCATACACGCAGATAGAGTACTCATATACATAAAATAAAGCTTAAAAGGGGGACGGGGGGAAGGGAATGACTTCTATTATTTGAGAACTCTCCCAACCATGAATGTCCTCTTACTGAAGCCCCCAACTTGGGTCAGCCATGCTCTTTAAGAACTCCTCTTTCCAGTGCCTTCCGGAAGGTCTCACTTTTGAGCCTGGGTCTGCACTTGTGTAGGGCACTGCCCGACACCCACAAAGGCTGGGGTATTGGATGCGGACAAGTGGTAACCCTCAGCACGGTGCCCAGCACACAGCACTGGCCTAGGAAGCAACAGCGTTCACACCATTCTTCTCAGTCTGTTCAGAGCCAAGCCGGCAGGGGCAGGCCCATTCCCTGGTCTCAGTGTGTTACCTGATAGGCACACTTCCGGTGCAGTTTCTTCTGTTCCTTGTACCACTGCATAAGTTCTTTCATGAAGGTGATTGTCACTTTGCCATCCTCAAGCTTGGGCCCGCTGTATTCATCTTCAATGGCTGGTGCATGGACAAGGGGATTAATTAGTGGCTTCAGCCATGGAGGGGCAAGAAGGGGAACCTGGCCTAAAGGGATGGGGTGAGGAGATGAGGCAATGAAGATTCCCATGATGCCTCAATGCTCCGAGGTCTTAGGGTCAGTCCACAGCTCCTACACTCCCTGACTCTCTGGCCAGTTCTAAACAGTGGCTTCTTCCTCTGGAGAGCTGTTTCCCTGCCCTTTGTCCCACATTCTAAATGAGTGGCTAAGAGGGTGATTGCCAAATAATCTCTCTTCAGATTCACAGCCCAGAGCACCTGGTGACCTTCAGGTGACATCAGAATGTGGGTCACTCCTCCTAGTCCTGTGCCTCCAACACACAGCATGGGGACTGCTACTAGGTCAAACTGCACAGTGGTGTGTCCATCAAAGGGATGGTGGGCACCATGGCTCCAGAAGGCAAAATTCACTGTGAAAATACTCTGACCAGAAAAGATGACAACACACGCCCTGAATGATGAAGACCCTGACAGGTTGTGTCTGGGAGGAAGACATGCTAGCTCCTGTCACGCTCTCAGGAGGCAGGCCCTCAAATATAGCCTGGCTTCCCTAGCGACTCCTGGCTCCCAGGCTTCTTCAGTGGTGAGCAGATGGACTTCAGTCTGGTGGCACAATGGTTAATGTCTAACTCATGCCTAGTCTATGTAGACAAGTCCCTGAAAGTATGCCGAGTCAAAGGCAGAGACCTGGCAGCTCCTAGAGGTTGCTGGAGGGCGGCCCCCATGTCCGCATGCTTTCCCTCTGCAGCTCTTCATGCCGAGACTCTATAACAGACTGGTAAGCATCCTTCTGGGTTCTGTGAGTCACTCGACAAACTAATGAAACCTCAAGAGCGGACCGTGGGAGGCCTGATTCATACCCAGTGGGTCAGAGGCATGGTCAAAACAAATCTGGGACTTGAAACAAGCAATGCCATGGAGGCAGCAGGTTCCACATAAGTATGGCACATACATGCCTACTCACAAGACATGATAATCAATGAAGGCTTTTCAAAAGGGTGTGTGTGGGGGAGGAAGCTTAGGGTCGCACCTCAGTTTGTCAGAACTGATTTGAATCAGAGCAATCTGACGATGGTACCCAGTACAGACTGAAGGGTCTGGTTACTGGTGGAGAAATCTGCATACGGTCTTGGTGACCAGGAGTCTGTGCTGACTGCTGAGTGAGATGAGGAAAAACTGCTCTGCTGATATACTGTCAGCACTGGTGTCAGAAGTAGAATTTGCTAGGATGGCCCTGGCTCACAGAAATGGGTCTAGAAGGAAGAAGATAAAGAGGGGAAAGGAAGGAATCTGACTTCTGGGTAGCCACGTGGTCACCCACTGTACAGGGCCACAGTTGTGCTGTGCGCTCTCCTAAGAAAATGTGATCTGCTCAGTTTCCTGGTCAAAGCTTTCTAAGATGGCTAAAACTGCAGCAGAGTGTCGGGTCTGACGCTGGCCTGAAACCAACTTCAGCCTTCAGCAGCATCTGGGAAAAAGTCACACAGGGGCAACAGACAGCACCTGCAGGACCTCTGGTCACCAAAAATAAAAAGAAGGACTAGAGGAAGAGCAAGACACTTCTGAGAGCAGAAGGCCTGGTGTGAAGGAGTTGTCTGTGACTCCATTATCAGCCTCCCAAGGAGCCTCCCTGCAGTGGGTTCTGAAGGTTCTGTAGGGCCCTGGCTGCCTCAGAGTTCTGCAAAGCAGAGGACATAAACACCAGGCCATGTGACAGTTAGTGCTAGTTGCCCACTTTACAGAGTCCAGAATCACCGGGAGATGGGCTCTGGGCATGTCTACAGGGGGATTACTGTATTAACTGAGGTTAGGGAAGACTTGCCAGTTGTGAGTGGCACCAGTCCCTGGCTGGGATCCCAGATCGTGGGAGCAATATGATCAGCTGCTTCAAGTGACTTGGCTTTCCTGTAGACATGGACTATACCCTTAAACTGTGGGCCAATGCCCCTTTTCTTACACCACTCAACAAGGTATTTTATCAAAGCAACAGGAAAAGAAACTAAGACAGACTTCTATGGAACAGCCTGCCTGGTGGGTCAACCAGAAGCTACTGTAATAGCTCACTTTGAAGGGGAGTGCCTGGCTCCCCCATCAGCACTGAGTGGAAGGATACCACAGAGGAGCAGCTGATTTGTTTCTCGTGCAAGCCATAAGGGGTTGGTGTTAGCATGGACCCTCACTACCCCATGGAACTTTACAAAACCAGTTCAGAAGTTTTGCTAGATCTGGGCTCCCTATTCCTCTTGTAGGTCTGAGAGATGCTATTAAAAACATCAAGCAAATAAACTAAACATGAAGAAAGAAGGAGGAGTTCATCTCAGGAAGGGAGAAGCGCTGAGGGTTACTAAAAAAATAAAACAGGGCCAGATGTGCTGGTGCATGCATGCAATCCTAAAACTTGGAAGGCTGAGGCAGGAGGATTGTAAGTCTGAGGCCTTCTTTAGCTTCACAGTGAGAAAAGATGAATAAGGAAAATGAAGAGGAGGGAATGGCAAGGTGGCTCAGCAGGTCACCAAACCTGATGACCTGATTTGACCCCTGGGACCCACGTAGTGGAGACAGCTAGAGAGCCGGCTCTTCTCAGGTGTCCTCTGACTTCCACCCTCACCATGCACTGACAATCGTAACACCGTGGATACGAGAGCCCACGTGCACTGTGGTAAAGAGTGTGAAACCTGGGGCTGGAGAGTGTTGGGGACTGACACACACACACACACACACACACACACACACACACACACACACACACACAGACACACACCCAAACCAAGAGAAAAATGCTCTCAATACAACATGTCATCACAGCTGGGCTAGGGCAAGGGGCCCTTGCTAGAGGCGGAACATTAAGTGAGTCCACAGGTATCTGCTCTACTTATCCTTGTTTGGAAATGTTTAACCTTTCTAAAACAGAGATTACGGTAAAAAATCTGGTCTGGCTGGGTGATGGTGGCACCCTTTATTCCCACTTGGGAGACAGAAACAGGTGGATCTCTGTGAGTTCAAGGCCAGCCTGGTCTACCAAGTGAGTTCCAGGACAGACTCAAAGGCTACACCCTGTCTAAAAAAAGAGGGGGGAAAAAAAAGAAATCTGGTCTGATATTGCCTCGAATAACAGGCATATTAATAACAATAAAAGTTAGCAAGAATCAAGATTTAAAAAATGAAGCTAAAGAGCAGGTGTCTTGGCTCAATGCCACCACTCTACCCCGGGACTGCAAGCAGTAGATTAAAGTTAGAGGGGATGAAGAGAAACCATAACACCCTGGATATGAGAGCCCACGTGCACTGTGGTAAAGATTGTGAAACTTGGGGCTGGAGAGTGTTGGAGACTCGCCTCGACAAAAACACCTCTTGCCAAGGAAGGGGCGTATTATGGTATGTACAGTGTACCTTGCTAGGCAATGTCTTCCCTGTTAAACAGAAGTGTGGAGTCCACACTCTGGCATGAACTGGGCATGCTGCCCAAGCCACCCAAGCCCACGCCATGTGCTGCAAGGACAGGAGGGCTAGCCTGGGCACATTTCTGTGCAGTGGCCCTAGGCATAGCCTTGACTGGGGCTTACAGCAAAGACTCTGGCCAGAAGAATTCAATGCGAAGGCTTTCTCTACTTTGCTGTGGGACAGTGACTGAGGCTGTCCCTGTGCTGAAGGGCATAACCCACAACTTCTGGTTAGTCACTCCAGGAACAGCAGGGTTCACAAGCAGCACCCAAGGCGGCACTACCTGGAAAGGCAGGGAAGGACCCTCAGGAGCAGGGGACCTCTCCTCAAGGCTGACTCTGAGGAGCTGGGAAGCAAGGGAACAGTTCTGCCTGGTAGCTAAGCAGTACCACAAACTAGACGGTACTGAAACCATATCTGTATCTGTGCTGACACACATTCTGGAGGAGGACAATGTAAACCTGGCCTGACAAAGGGTTGTTTATTTGGAACACAGACCAGGGAAGGTTGGAGGAGCTCACTGAAGCAGGAATGGTCGATGCCCATCAGCAGTTTCCAGATATCCCCAGTACTCATGCTAGAAGGCCACCTGCTCCAGGAAATGAGTGGACATGGGGGCTGCAGCATGGCAAAGATGGTGGAGTCTAGATGTGTCCACTCAGGTATAGCTCGACTACTGGTAGCTATGGGACAGAGTCCTGTGGAAGAACATCCTGAATAGCTGGTGAGCTGGGGTGATGCTGGTGGCCTCAGGAGCCTACAAATGGGCTGTGACAAGACTAGATGTGGACACTGTCTCTGGAGACTGTGGCTTTGCTTGCCCAGGTGGAATGGAAGACAAACGGCCAGAGCGTGCTCGGAAAACCAGAGAATAATGCACAGACAGATGTGGGTGACAACTGTCACCCGTCCACACCAAACGACAGTACAGGTCATAACATCTAAGCCCTGGCTGGCAGGGAGATACACTCCTTGGAGCCAGCTCACCAGAGAATAGGTACTGGCACCCAAAGGACTGGCTGGCTAAGTGACTTACCCTTGAAACCCCTGCACTTGGGAAGTTGAGGCAGGAAGATTTTTATGAGTTTGAGGCCAGCCTGGACTAGAAGTGAGATCCTTTATGTCCTTGCTCCTCATACACACAAAAGCCCAGACTCACACACCTGAGAAAAACCAAAGGAGCCTGTGATTGGATCTGCCTCTGTCATCTGGAAGTTGGGGGTGAGGGGGTGCTGTGAGCACATAGTTCTTGTCAAGAGAGCCACATGATCCCACTGTTTTTTCCTATTCTTAGCCCCCTTCTCTGCTTCCAATGCTGAAGCACTGTCACAGAATACTGGAGTTGTGGCAGACTCCTAGGCATGATACTACCTGTGGTTTTAAACCTTATGCCTGCACAAAACTCAAATCCAAATGGATCAAAGACCAATAAAGCCAGCCACACTGAACCTTATAGAAGAGAAAGTAGGAAGTACACTTGAACGCATTGGCACAGGAGACCACTTCCTAAATAGAACCCCAGCAGCACAGACACTGAGAGAAACAATTAATAAATGGGACCTACTGAAACTGAAAAGCTTCTGTAAAGCAAAGGACAAAACGACAGCCTACAGAATGGGAAAAGATCTTCACTAACCCCACATCAGACAGAGGTCTGATCTCCAAAATATATAAAGAACTCAAGAAATTGGACACCAAAAGATCACATAATACAATAAAAAGAAAAAAAAAATGGAGTAGAGACCTAAACAGAGAACTCTCAACAGAGGAATCTAAAATGGCTGAAAGACACTTAAGGAAATGTTCAACATCCTTAGTCA